TATTATTATTATTATTATTATTATTATTATTATTATTATTATTATTATTATTATTTTCATTCTTGCAATTTCTTTTATTATTACATTTTTATTTAGTTTATTAAATCTAAAACTAGCGCAATTTATTCAGTTCAAATTAAGCATACGCCCCGTATCAATAGCTGCCGAATATTGACGCAGAGTATGCCAAAAGCTACTTAACTCATTTAAGCAACATCTCAATGACTTAATCATTAACTATAATTAATGCATATACTTTAAATATATATATTTTAATTCACCGCATTCAAGCGACAATTTGTCACAAATTTGCATCAATTTACATTTAATATTTCTTTCAATCGGCTTTCCCATGCCGCTTATCGCTTTAGCCGCTGGCCGAGAAATTAAATCAAAGGGCATTCGATTCAATTTCGCGCTCTCCCGCCTCAATTCACACGCATCGCACAAAAATGGAAACAAAAAAGAAAACAGAATCGAGCGACCGCAGAAAATATTGTTGATAATTTGCGGTGCACTGAATTTGCAAATTAACTCAATTCAGTGCTGGCTCACGACTTTGAGCGGCACAAAAAACTATAAATTTTTGCATTCAATTATGAGTGCTTAAAGCGAGAGAACTTAAAGGGTTTCGCTCGAAAAGGATTCGAGAACTTTTGTCAGCTGTGTCACGTAGCCAGCCAGAGAGTAGAGTAGAATTAATAAGCCAACGGGTGGCACATTGCATATGCAATGTAAATGTGCCACATGTGGCACAAACGTAATCGTAATGCCATGCAGCAGCCACTCCTGCTACTCCTGCTGCAGCGCCAACATTTGCGACATTGTGTTAATGCGGCTTATGTGACAAGTCAGTTAATTACTCTCGCTGTTTTGTAAGCAGCGAAAAACTCCGTCAAGCTATGCGGCAAACAATGCGGAAAGCAAAATCTCCCCTTCTCTCTATCTCCCGCTCTGTCTATCTCCTTCTCTCGGTTCGCCTGCTGTGCTCGACTTGAAAATGCTTTCTAACCGCTGCTGCTGCTGCTGCTGTTGGTGTTATTGTAGTTGTTGTTGCTGTAATTGTTTGCTTTAGCAAATGTTGCACAATAACTGCTACACACACACACACACACACGCACTCACACTCACATAGTAGATACACTCACACAGCAATAGACATGTCAGCCCTTGTATTATGTTTATTTGTTTGTCAAGCTCTCGGCATATATATATAATTAAATCCAACATTAGTTGAAACACTTGAAGTGTATTTGACAGCTCTCTGACAATATTATTTGTGGAATTTGTGCCTGAAAGCCGAACTTACCCAAGAGCAATTCAAGCTAAAAGCGTTCGCTTCCACTCAATTGAATCGAGTCGCCAAACAGTCAAATAATTTAACATTCAACTCTGGGCTGGGAACATTTAGCATGCCTCGAGCGCTGCAGCGCCAGCTATGCGAGCCCAAATCAAAAGGAATTCCAGCGTGAAGCTTCTGAAAATTAAAACCTAAGGCCTCAACCAGAGCTCTTGGCCTTATGATTAAGTTAACAGACACCGGATGCCTTAAAGCCTTCTCACAATTTATCATGTTTTCAACTGCAATACGAGAGTGCCCCGTTCGAGTCTTGGGAGTGTTTCAAAAAAATGTCATAGGTCGTAGCTTGTCAGTCAGCGAAAGAGAGAGGGAGAGAGAGAGAGGGAGAGAGAGAGAGTGGGAAGAGAGGTGGGAGGGGAAAGGAGGCAACACAAACAACAATGTAATTTGTAAGCATGTCGTCGGCGGCAGCAGAGGCGGCGGGGCTGGTTACCCCCGTCTCCCTCTGACCCACGTAATTTACAAGTCAGACAGACTGACAGCAGCAATAACAACAACAATCATGGGCCGCCATAGTCAAGTGTGAGCGCTTGGGTCGTCGGCGCTTTAAAAACATAAACAGGACAGGCAAAAGGACAAATCCAGCCGCCGGCCAGCAAACAAAAATATCCGGAATAGAGCTGAAAATACAAAAAAAAAAAAGCAGAAAAAAATGAAAGAAGAATAAAACAAACTCCCCGCGCTAAACTCAAGCATAATCACATAATAAACAAGCGCGGCATGGCATGGGCGAAAAGGACACGCGCACACACATACACACACACACATGCGCACATTTTCCGGACATTTTAGGCACTCACGGGAAGCAGGAAACCAAAAACCAACGCGATAATAAATATGAGTTAAAGTGTAAAAAAAAGAGCCAGACCGCCAGCATCAAGATAAACAACAATAAAGCGAAAGGCTATATGCATGTAGTCTAATTCAGGCAAACACACACACACGAGCACACACACGCATACACACATGACAGCAGCTTAATGCTTGTAATTAAATGCGCCTCGACCGAGAATCTCACGAGTCGCAAACATTTTGTGGCTGCAGCATTTGAAAGGCGCACAAGTTCCGGACTTTTGGCGTCAAGGCCAAGCGGACAGGCGGACAGGCGGACAGACGGACGTACACAACTGTCAGTCAAAGAAACAGACACACACAAATGTTGCTCACTGCTGCTGTCGCTGCTCTAGTTGCTGTTAGTGTTGTTGTTGTTGTTATTGTTGTTGTCTGCTTTCACTTAGCTGCTTCTTGTTTTCCAGCCATTTGCACTGCTCTTTTGCGCTTAATTTCACTCAACTTGCTGCTGTCTGTGTGCGTGTGTGTGTGCGTGTGGGCTTTGTTTGTATGTTTGCGTGCTTGATATTAAATTTAATTTTTTGTTCATATTTATGAGCTGAGCTTATACAAATTTAATAGCCCAACTTTTTGGCCTATAGCTGATTCGCCCTGGACTTAGGGGTAGCAGCGCTGCATTTAATTTGATTTAAGGTCCACATTGAGATGGATAACCTGTAAATATATGTACATATACATCTCCGTCTCTCTCTCTAGAGTCAATAACTTTTGTATCATAAATATGCCTTAAGCGTACCCGCAGGGCTTGCCAAGCTTAAAATTATGAGAATTTTACTGCTTATGAATTTTTAAATGATTTGTGTGCCGTTCTACTAATTGTATTTCCTTATGTTTGCATATATATGTAAATAAGGTTCACTTTGGGATTACAATTTAATATTAATTTTAAGCAAATTTTCGTTTAAACTTTAGAATTTTACGTATATTTTAGGGATAGTATTATTCTTAATCTATATATTTTTAGATTAAGCAAATTAAATCATGATCATCTTTTAAATATAGTTTTATTTCCGCTTCCTCTCGCCAAGCAGTGAAATTGCATTTCATTTCTTTGCTTGCACTGCTTGCCGTCAAGCAGTTGCTTGGCTAGAAATCTCTAATAGACAACGTATTTCTTTGTGTTATTTCATCTCGTTTGTATCCTCTTCTCAGCCAACGAAATCACAAATTTATATGTTATAGTGTACACACACACACACACACACATTCACAGACAGACAGTCAGTCTCTTTACGTAATCCTTTTTGTGGCAAATAGCAGCTGAACGTGCTGCTCTTGTTTGTTGCTCTGCTATGCGGCCGCTGTCTGGTTCCTCGCTTTATTTCGTTTTCTGTTTCGGTGGCAGCAAAAATGTTCAAATTCGTTTAGCGCGCTGCAAAGTTGCGCAAAAATTGTTTTTGCGGTACATATATTTATATACCATACATATACATAGATTATATATATAATTTAGTTGTTGTTGTAGCTGACGCTGCTGTTGTCTAAAACATTACAAACAAATTGAGTTTGGCTCGAATTATGCCTGGCCTTTAGCGTGCCAGACAACATGGCTCGCATGGCCAACGCTGCGCTAAACTTGGCCACGCCCAAGCGCCCCTAAAGTGACTACTGCAAACAGTTTCACTTTTGGACAGAGCACTCACACACTCACACACACACAGAGAGCCAGAGACACACCCATATACACGTTCACACCAACAGCCAAAAGTCATTTGAGCTGCTTTTTTCTGGCTCTACTCTTGTAATTTATGAGTTTGCGCCTCAAGTTGTGGGCCACGCGGTGGCAGCATGCACTTTCGTCCTTTCGCTCTGGACTGCAGCGGCTTATCGCCATTGTCTCTGCTGTGCCATGTAGCTGTTGCTGCTGTTGTTGTTGCTGTTGCTGTTGCCGGGCAGTTTATGAAAACTGCAGTGGCAAATGTTTGGCTTTGCTCTCGCTGCCTCACACACACACACGCACACACAAGCACGCACTGGCTGTCGTCCTCTTCGTCTCTTGTGCTGAGCGAGCACCCTGGAGTGCAATGTCCTTGTTTATGCGCCGACACTCTTTGCTGCTGCTGCTGCTTTTACTATTTCTGTTGCTGTTGCTGTTGCTGTGGCGCTTGATTGAATTGTGTCCTTGTCAGCGCATGTCCTGCAGCAGCCGGCTGGCAGCTCGTGTGCGTGTCAAACAACTTGCAGTTCACCTAGAAGTTTAATTAACTTTTTAGCTCAATTTCTAAACACGCTTTTCATTTCATTGCACGCTTTATTTTAACTTTCCAGTCTGAAAAGCCAAACCAACTAATCTCATATACAAATGTGTTTTCACACACTTTTGCTACAGTGCACAAAAGAACAAAAAACGAAAATATTGTGAATCACTGAACTTTGAATTTAAAAACCCAATTCCAAGAGGCTTTAAGCTAAATGTTAGGAAATCCTCTCTCTTTTGCAAAGGCAAATCCAGTTTCTGAGCAGCTATAATTATGTGTGTTTATATGGTGAGCGTAAGTGTGTGTGTGTGTGTGTGTGTGTGTGTGAACTGTCAAGTGACTTAAAATGACAGCAACAGCTTCTGACAGCTGCAAGCTAACGGTATTACATCTGACAGCTGGCGTCTGTTGTGGTTTATGTTAAAAGCCCACAACCCTCCTCCTCCTACACACACACACACACCCACTCCCACACACACACACACGCATGTATATTAATGTGCATGTGTGTCTTCTTAAGGATGCGCACAAATTTATGTTTATGTTAACAGAGTCGACCCATTCAAGTGGCAAACCAAAACAAGTAAGCAGCGTTTACAGCCGCAGCCACCAACCACGAGCCACGAGCCACCAGCCATAGTTCAGCCAAACCACCGCACCGCCACACCGCCGCCTTTCAGTGGAACCGCCCACCGTCTTTACACTGAATGCACTCATGTGCACGAGAGCGAGAATATTGTAACCGAACGCGAGTTTTGGTAGATAACACAGCGACAGCTACTCCATATCCAATGTCGACATCTACACTGAGCGAAAGTTCAAGCTGCGAGCGAAGCGAACGAACGAACTAATAATATCGAAACTGAAAATGTTATTCCTCTGGCTCCTCCTCCACTTTGGCCTTCTGTGCCTTGGCCTGCGGCTTCGTCTGCGCAGCGGCAAGTGCCTCAGCTGCAGCGGCTGCCTCCTGCTCAGCCTTGTGCTTCTCCTGCTCCTCCTGCAGGCGACGATTCATTTCGGCCGCATACTCCGCAAAGGTCAGGTTAATGTCAAACGGCGAACGCCTGTAGATATTTGCCGGTGTAAGGTTGTTCTGTATGGGCCAGAAGGCACCGTCATCATCGGGTCTATACGGCACCTGGCCATAGAGGCCACAGAACTCCTCCAGAGTATAATAGAACCGTGTTGAGGCCAATACTAGCTCTATGCGCTGTATTTCCGGCAGCCATTTTCGAAAGATATCCGTTGGCAACGTCTCTGAGATGGCAACAGTTAGGCGCTGCATTTGACTGAGCGGCTGGCTTCTCTGTTGCCCAAGACTCCCTTCGCTTTCACCCTCCATTTCGTCAAAATCAGTGCCCTCTGTTTGGAGAGACGAGTCCTGCTGAGACGAATCATGATCGATTGGCTCCATGCTCTCGCTGATCAGCGAGCATATGGTGAATAGCTTATCCTTGATAATCAAATGCTGTTTGCCCATCAGGTACTCGTCCGTGGGCGTCGAGGGCGGAAACTTTTCGTTGAGAAAGGCAGCTGGTATGCGCCTGAACATGAGCTGCCTAGTGTAGAGCTGGGTAGGGGCAAAGCTAACAGGGATATTCCGCACTTAAAGTATTCTGTTCGGACTCACCTCTTTGATGTGATCTTCAATATGGAAGACTCGATGATCTTTCCAGTATTCAGGAATTCGTTCCAAGAGCTTCGCGCAGAAGATGCCTATCATATCCTCGCAGCCTTCCAGCATCATCATGGTGTAGTCATTCATATAGAGCACCAGTCCACACAGGGGATCGTGAGAGTAGATCAATTCGCGACATTTTGCGTGAAGCTCCTGTAGCATTTCGGTAAAATAGTTGAAAACGTCCTTGGGCTGTTCGACTATTTCTGGTTCAACTTCCGTGTTATCTGTCTCTTGGTCGTCGTCCCCATATGAATACTCATTAAATCGAAATGTGTGGGTTAAGGTTTCAGTTTCGATTTCATCTTTTATTTTCACTGACGAGTGAGCCCCACCTGCAGGAATAGCAGGATCCTTGTTTACCTCCGGCACCTCTGTCGTCTCCGCCGCCTCCGGCACATTTGGCACATCCGGCATGGCCACTTCCGAGTAGTGCTGATCCTCCTCGGCCATGCCCTCAGCGGCGCGCATCGCATCTGATTCGAACTTGACCTCAGCTGCTTGCAGTTCACTGTCGCTCTTGGGCTCCACATTCTTGGCCAGTATGAAGATGCGCTGATAGAACACCGACGTGTTCATTTTCAGCAGCTTTTCGTCCACATACTCCACTAGGGACTTGCGCACCTGAAAGACCAGCGGACGCTTCAGCGTGAAGCAGGGGCGCCTCACACTCCGAAATTGTCCCGACTTGGGATTGAATGCTGAGGCTCGTCGCGTATTCCTAGAGCCACTCATATTGAGGACAACTCTGCTGTGTATAAGAGTGTATATGTTAAGCTATTTCCCCACAGGATTGTATTGTATGTGTCCACAGGATTGTATTGTATATGTGTTTGTAGTGTTGTCTAGTAACTGTAAAGCAAAATGGTTGCTAGGTTATGAACTGTTTATTATTGACTACGTAGAAATCAAGCAAGCCGAAACTAGTTTCAATTGGAAGTAGCTCAGGCAAACGGTAGATAAAAAGACAACTGAAATTTTATTAAAAAATTAAAAAACATAAACTAATAATATATGAAAAATATTATTCCTCTGGCTCCTCCTCCTCTTTTGGTTTCTGTGGCTTATCCTGTGACTGCGTCTGTGCCGCAGCATTTGCCTCAGCTTCAGCGGCTGCCTCTAGCTCAGCCTTGTGCTTCTCCTGCTCCTCCTGCAGGCGACGATTCATTTCGGCCGCATACTCCGCAAAGGTCAGGTTAATGTCAAACGGCGAACGCCTGTAGATGTTTGCCGGTGTAAAGTTGTTCTGTATGGGCCAGAAGGCACCGTCATCATCCGGTCTATACGGCACCTGGCCATAGAGGCCACAGAACTCCTCCAGCGTATAGTAGAACCGTGTCGAGGCCAATACTAGCTCGATGCGCTGTATTTCCGGCAACCATTTTCGAAAGATATCCGTTGGCAACGTCTCTGAGATGGCAACAGTTAGGCGCTGCATTTGACTGAGCGGCTGGCTTATTTGTTGCACCGTTTCTTCTTCGCTTTCACCCTCCACTTCGTCAATCTCAGTGCCCTCTGTTTTGAGAGATGCGTCCTGCTGGGACTTCGATAATTTGGGTGGATTCATACTCTCGCTGATCAGCGAGCATATGGTGAATAACTTTTCCTTGATGATCAAATGCTGTTTGCCCATTAAATACTCGTCCGTGGGCGTCGAAGGTGGAAACTTTTCATTGAGAAAGGCAGCTGGTATGCGCCTAAACACAAGCTGCCTAGTGTAGAGCTGGGTAGAGGCAGATTTATATATTTCGCTTTTCAAGTACTTCGTTGAGTTCGACTCACCTCTTTGATGTGATCTTCAATGTGAAAGACTCGATGATTTTGCCAGTATTCAGGAATACGTTCCAAGAGCTTCGCGCAGAAGATGCCTATCATATCCTCGCAGCTTTCCAGCATCATCATGGTGTAGTCATTCATATAGAGAACCAGTCCACACAGGGGATCGTGTGAGTAGATCAATTCGCGACATTTTGCGTGAAGCTCCTGTAGCATTTCGGTAAAATAGTTGAAAACGTCCTTGGGCTGTTCCACTATTTCTGGTTCAGGTTCAGCCTGCTCTTCGTCTTCTACAGCATCTCCCTCAACTTCTTCCTTATCGAACCGAAACGTGTGGGTTAGGGTTTCAGCTTCAGTTTCGACAAAATCTTTAATCTTAACTGACAGGTGAGCCCCAACGCCAGAGGCATGAGGCGTCTGGGCCGTCTCCGGCACTTCAGGCGTGGCCACCTCCGAGTAGTGTTGATCCTCATCCGCCATGCCCTCAGCTGTGAGCGCTGCATCTACGTCCACATTTGATTGAGCTAAGCCGGCCGTGACCTCTGCTGGTTGCAGCTCACTTTCGCGCTTCTGCTCCACATTCTTGGCCAATATGTAGATGCGCTGATAGAACACCGACGTGTTCATTTCCAGCAGATCCTCGTCAACATACTCCACTAGGGACTTGCGCACCTGAAAGACGAACGGACGCTTTAGCGTGTAACACGGATGCCTCACGCTGCGAGATAATCGCGGCTTGACAGCGATCGCCGAGGCTTGCCGCGTAGTCCGAGCACCAATCATATTAAGGACACTTCGAATAGGTAAAAATGCGAGCTATGGAGCACAACGAGGTCTCTATTTATTTGAAATGTTGTATAGTTTGTGGCAGGCAAAACGGTTGCTAGGTTATGAGCTGCTATAGAGCTGTATTAGGCATAGCAAACAAATAAAAGCAGAGAAACAACAAATATACATGAGATAATGGCGAGAGAGAGAGGGAGAGACACAGAGAGAGAACGACAGGAGAAGAACCTAAGGCACTGAGAGAGAGTGACATGGAGAGGGAGATAGCATTATACAGATGATATGATGCTAAGCTTTAACGAGCTTACTTTAAGCATTCTAGCAAGATTTATTCCCAGCTAGATTTCTCACAGTGTACATTTACCAAACTGTTATTATATGACACAGTCAATGTGTGTGTGTAAGTGTGTGTGTGTGTTTGTGTGTTTGTGTGTTTGTGTGTTGCTGTAGCTGCTGCCTCAATTATTATTATCACTCGCTTGAAATCCAAACGCTGTAACTGCCTTTTGCTTTTCAGCGAGTTAATTTATTCATGGCGCATTTATGAGCAACTACAACAAGGCCAAAGCAGAGGCAGCAGCAGCAGCAGGAGCAGGAGCACTGGCAATGGCAATGGCAATGGCAGCAACAATGTGTTGTAAACTTCTTCATCAGCATGCGCTCCCTCTCCGACTGCCTGTATCTCTATCTCTCTCTCTCTCTGTAGCCTCTCCCTCACTCTAACTTATTTACTGTCTAGCTCTTTTGAACAATCTGAAACACTTGGGCATACAGCATGCTGAAATGATAATGAGCGAAAATTGTTTTTTGACTCGCTCCCCAGGTGTTTTGTTTGCAGCACAAAAGCAAAATGTTTTGCATCAAAGAGCAAAGACTTGCCACCATTCAGGTGCTCAGCCTGAGCTTAATACGGCTCGGTTTCTGTAGCCGTTTAACATTTTAGTTTATTGGCCTGCCGAAGCTGCGCAGCAATTTCTAATGTTGTCTGCTGTCCTGGCGACGACATCTCTCTGTCTCTCTCTCTCTCTCTCTCTCTCTCAATGAGAGCTCTTTGAGCACAGAATTCTTAAAGTCAACTTAAAGTTACATTTGCCGAATCGAGTTTCACTTTCGAGCAGTCTCGCATCCGCCACGCCCATTTGTCGGCGACAAGCGCCAGCGTTGATTGCACCCAAGTTCTTAGTCAATATTTGTCAATTTCAATGAAATGAGAATTTGACATGCAAGCAAACATGCCGACAAACTACTCTGAGCCTCACTGCAATGCGATGCGATGCCATGCGATGCGATGCGATGACGTGCATCCTGTAACTGTGGCTTCAGCGGCCTCACGATCCACACAGCTCCTCTCCATATGCAAACAGAGTAGCTGGCCTTGGCCAGTATCCACTGGAAATGCGCTGGGCAACAGCCACACACACACAAGCACAGAGAGAGAGAGAGAGAGAGAGAGAGAAAGCCAGACCAATATAGAATACAAGCACGTGCACACAGTAAAGCCAAGCGGACATACACGAATAGGTAAATTAATTGCGATTTGTATGCAGTGGCATTTTTGTATGGCTAAGTGATTGATGGGCAGGTGCTGGCTGCAATGCCTGGGAGCAAAAACCAAATAAAAGAAGCCAACATAAAATAGATTTAAGAGACGACTGCAGCAGCTATAACAAACGAACGAGATATATGTCAAGCTGTGCGTTCATGAATCTGATATATGTTAAAGAAGATCGATGCAAAATACAAAGAGAATGACAGTGGAGAGAGAAGCGAGTAGGGTAGAGCGATTAAACGGTAGACAGTAAGGAATTACGTGCAGTGATTAACGAATATGGCAGTAGGATATTGAAGAGAAGAGCTCAGCAAATGAACGGCAAAAGCAGCGAATAACCAATAGAGATAGCTTAGAATGGAGAGATAGAGATAGAGAGAGCGATAGTAAGAGAGAGAGAGACAGAGAGAGACAGAGAGAGAGAGAGAGAGAGAGAGAGCTGTAATAAAATAATAGCTTTGATTAGAGAGCTATTAGAAAGTCGCTAATAAAAGAAGCAATAATGAGGTATATTAAGACTACCATGAACAGAGAAAGATTGATAGATAGAAAGACCAATGATAAATCGAAATCGGGCAAGAAACAACTGATTATGAAGCAATGAAACAACAAATTACAAAATCTAACTAGAACTAGCTGAAGAGCACAAAGAGAATCAAGAGTAATCGAGTAGAGTGTGGGGAATATCAAAAAGTAAATAAAAAGAAGCGGCTTATGAATGGAGAGCAAACCGAAAACAATGGGCACAATGAGTATGCCAAAAGGCGAGAGATTAGTAATATGACAAAGCAAACGAGCAAGTCATAATAGATAATTAAGAGAAAATTAGTAAAATGCAAATGCTTTAGTCAAAAGAAGCACGCAACAGAAATCAAGCAACAATAGCTTAGATTAAATTGCAATCCAAAATAATGCTAAAATATGCAAAATATATCACATGCAATAATATAGCATATCGTAAATGCAGAATTTATCAAGCCAACCGAGCGGCCTGCATTATGTATTACCAATCAAAAGTTGCAAACAATTATGAAAACAGTAAATAATATTTGCAATTAAACTTTCGAAATATTTCGTGTGCGCCGGGTTCATTTCAAACTTTGCAACTGCTGTACATGAAAAACTAGACTGTTTTTTTCATCTGTGTACCGCCTGCATATTTTATTATAAATTTTAATTTAATTTTGTGACGGAGATTTGATAAAAGTTGCCCTGGCAATTAGTTGCTTGTCACGAAAGTTTTGCCAATGCAATTAAATTGGGAATTGAGCGAAATGCAGAACGAGCTGTTTAATCAATTAAAGCTTGGGGCACTAGCCAAGAGCCGCCCGACAATTGGGAATGTTGTAAAAATTGAGTGTGTGCGTGCGCTGACCAATCGCTCAATTAATGTCATCTAATTTAGTTGGCCAGCAGAACAGAGAATGGGAGAGGGAGAGAGAGAGGGAGTGTCTTGGCCAAAAAAAAAATAAAATCAATAGAGATTCATTCCTTGCCTTCGTAGAGGACAACTCGGCCTGGTAACTCAATTATATTTTTATTTATGCGCCAGCATTCGCGCACTCCCCAAATGGCATTGAGGGTTTGTCTTCCGATCCTTAGACAATGGAAAATTTATTGTTTCGCCAATCTAAGCAGATTTTTGGAAGGAACTTTTTATGCTGTTTGCCCATGTCTGTGCGGGCATTAATAAAGTTATGTATTTGATTATGCAATAGGCGAACGTAAAGCATTGCGAATGGATTCAATTGCTTGGCACAACGGGCAGCAGCATGATGCCACCACAAGCAAGACCTAGACCACGACCAAGACAAGACAAGACAAATCATAAAAAAGAAGTTGGCAATATGCGAGTTTTATGGCGCAAAACTTTGCTTTAAATGAAATTGCTCAGCGAAGCCTAAGCGGGCGGGCGCGACAGCTGATAAAAATTAACAGCGCACTTCGAGCCGCGAGATGTTCCCCAAAACATTTGCGACCCCAAGACGCGTTCAAGGTCTGCAGCTTCCAATGAAACTGTGAAACGTTAGAGTTTCGGCTGTGTGGCCCGGCTTTGGCTATCAAGTGGTCAACTTTACCCTTTTTTTTTCTTTTTTGCGCTCTCGCCCTTAGACATTTTCTTGTGGCATTCCGAAATGGCACATCCGGTGCTTAAGTGTGTGTCTATGTGTGTGTGCACATTCCACAAATTCAACTTGTGTGCGGCTTGAATTTCACTCCTTTATGAGGTCATTTAAAGCCAACAGAAATGCCCCAAAAACGAGCAACATTGCTCGAAAGTTTTCCCCTAGCCCTTAAAAGTAGAAAAAGGATAACTGTGAATGAAGCATACATTTTGGCCTTAAAACATGATGACAACAATTAGCATTCAGATAAACGTTTTTGTTGCATATAACAAACACTTGCCAAGTTTCTTCTCTCCCCCTTCTTTGCAGTTTGATACCCTGAACAGATTGACAAGGGTATAAGGTTTTCGGGGAAATTTATGTACGAGCCACAACAAATCAGAGTTCATAGAGGGCATATGTGAAGAGGATTGAGTGAGCTAGAGCTGATTGGGATTGGGATTGTACGTTCTGATATCGATTCCTGGGAAATTTTTAAGCTGTTAGATTAAATTATATAATTTATGGGAAGAAAATCAATGAGAAAGTTGAGGCATAAGCAATGTTAAATCAATTTAAGTTTCCTTCTCATAATTTCCCTAATTGAATATAGATCGATCTCAGCATATAGATATCTATATATTTGATTTTTTATACCCCGCATATATATTTTAAATACATGATTTAAATCTTGTTTTATTCAGTGGTATCTGCTAGTCGATATTATGCAACACTCATTTCCTTGTTTCTTAGTTTACTTTGGAGAATTTACAATTTAAATGGAGTGAAAATGCACAAAAGCATGAAATTGCATGGTCTTTGTCAGAGTGGACAAAAATAACGATAACAACAATGACAGGGCTTGATTAAAATGAAACTGTCTCTATATTTGCGCATATCACTGTGCTAGTGTGTGTGTTTGTGTGAGTGTGAGTGTTTCGAAATATCAAGCAATTAAGCAACACACCAGCTGAAATAAAAATGGAATCCAAAAGTGAACTCAATTTGCTGGCATCTAAATCATTTTTAATTTGAGCAACAAAAGCTTTTGTGCAGAACAACAAATAAATTGTATACTATATATATGAGTGTGTATGTGTGTGTGTGTGTTTGTTTGTGCATGTGTTGGCGTGTTTGTTGTGCATATAACAATAAAAAATTTAGCGCACATCTGAGCATAAGTTTACAAACAAATACGCACACAGCGAGAGAGCGAAGAGCTGCCACACGGGAGCAGCAACAGCAGGAGCAGCAGCAGCACGAGCAGCACGAGCAGCAGAAGCAGCAGGAGCAGCAGCAGCAGGAGCAGCAGCAGCCAGAGCAGCAGCAGCAACCGTAATGCAATATATAGTCTGCTGCATG